TTTTCCCAGACTGAAAGTCAAAAACACAGCACGGCACCAGCTACTAAGAAGGAGAAAAAATGACTGCTGTAGCTGAACCCAGGACACATGCACACTGGAGCCACCCAGCCATGGCAAAGCAGAGGGAAGAACTTGGGATGCCAGTGGAGCACAGAACCTGTCGCTTGGGTCCCCAGCACAGCCACAGCCTCAAACCCAACTGGATCAGCAGCTTCCCAGGGGCATTTCCCACTGGCCAAATTGTGTCTGCCCCATCCCTGGCAGTGTTCAAGGCCAGGTTGGACAGGGCTTGGAGCAACCTGCTCTAGTAGAAGGTGTCCCTGCCTATGGCAGGGGGGGGGGGGGGACAGTTTAAGGTCCCTTCCAACCCAAACCAGTCTGTGATTCTATGAATTTGCTGGAGAGATCCAGCTCAGTGGATACTCTGCAAGGCCCCCACACTGGCTCATCCTGTTTCCTTCTAGACTCATCCTTAGCCCTCTTCTGAGCCATCCCTGAGCTAATTCCTAGGAACAGGGTCTGGTTCCTGGTGACATTCCTCAGAGACCATAAAAGCCTATCTAAGTGTTTGGTGAAGCTCTACATTTGAGCTTGAGTTTCTCAAACTGGAGACTCTTCCTCCCTACTTTTCCTTGCTCACATTTCCAACCTTTTTTTATTTCCTGGGTTTATTGTCGTTTGTAATCGCAGCACTTTAAACACATAAACAGGCATGGAATCTCTCTCTTCCCAGCTTGGAATGGTTCAAGAGTAAGTGTGTGAGGAGCTTAAGTTCAGGGAAGTTTGAGGTCCCACAGATGGGTTGAGATCTGCTGGACACACTACGTGAAGCTTTTGCCAGGCTGGCACCCAGCAGCTTTGGTGCTTGGACCTGCATTCCCCCATTGTTTCCTAACCCAGCGAAGTTAGGGAGCGTGGGGAGAACGGCAGCCCCATGCCATGTGATTTTCCCCAACTCCGGGACGTCGATCCTGGGAGCAGCAGTGCTTTGGGGAATGGCAAAGTGGAAAGTACCAATTTTCCCAGGGGCTTGCGGGATTTTTGACTTTGGCCATATGTGCCTGAATGGTACCATTATGGCCTGGGTTGACCACCCAGCAGTGCTACAGGATGCTTCTAGTTTCACATCAGTTTCTGCTTAATGCCAGGGGATGTCACTGCAGGGGGCATTTGGTGACAGCTTTCCAGTTGGGCTAACACCCTCCCACCCTGCAGAGTAGAGGATGCAATGAGTTTCAGGAGAGCTGCCGGGACAGATCTGTCAGGAGCAGGGTCCTGGGGTGTCCCCAGAGCCCACTATCCCCCTGGTAGCCCTTCCTCCCTCCCTCAGCATCCACCCTCATATGGAGTCCCTGTCATGATGGAAGGAAGCCAAGTGCACTAATTGCATCTCACTTATCATGCCCGTTCAGTGCTTTGTGAGCAGCCTGGGTGAGGGTTCCTCCATCACCTCCACGTGTGCCATGGGGCTCAGCAGTGAGGCCAGAGAGCTGAGCCCACACTATTCTGGCCTGTGCCCACAGGGCTCAGAGAGGGGGGTTCTATTTCCCTGCTGTGCCACCAACATCTCTGCGCTCCCTCTCCCTGCAGGATGCCTCCATTGCCCACCGCTTCCACATCATGCGAGAAAAACACCCTGAGAAATTCAACAGCAGGTAAGGGCTGCCCATGGGCCCTCCAAAAGCTGGGTGAGGGGGGATGCCCTGCTGCTGTGCACCGTGCAGACGGGATGTGTTGGAGCCTGCTCCCCTCCCACCAGGCTCCTTTTGCCCCTCTTCTCAAGGGACTGGCAGCAGCCCTGGGGACATGGTGTGGTGTTCAGCCAACCTTAGGGGATGGGCATGGTGGGGGTCTGGGGTGCTCCTTTGGGCCCCATGCAGCAGTGGCTGCTCAAACTTGGCCACATGCCGAATTACGTTCATTCATGCTTTATAATTAGCACCAAATTCCAGAACTGGCATGAGCAGGCCAGGCAGCGAGGGCAGGGCAGGCAGCAGGTTGCAGCTCGCTCCTGCTGTGCTCGGGGTGCATGGAAATGGTGTGATAGCAGCAGGAGCTATGGCTTGTGACCCTCATGCCAATGTTCATAAATACCTGCTAGAAAAATGCTGAATGGACCAAAGCATCTGGCTCTGCTCTGAAATCCAGAGGTTGTAGCTCCATGTGGAAGCGTGGTGCAGTGATTGATGCAGGGGATGAGCAGTGGTCGGGGGCTGCCTGGCAGGGTGCCGGGAGGGTGTGAGGCAGGGCTTGAGGTGGGGGACATCCCCTCCCTGGGGTACCCCATCCCTGGCAGTCCTGTTGACAGATAATAGCCCATGCTCAGCTCTGCTAAGATAAAGGCACCCTTGTCCCATGCCAAGGGAGCACCCAACATCCCCATCCTCCCCCTCCACAGGGTGTCAGAGCCAGGTCTGCCCAAGCTACCTGCTGTCCCACAGCTCAAGTCCCTGGAGCTGTGACACTGGTGGTCCCTCCCCACAATACGCTTGTGTCCCCATCAGTGGCCCATGTCCCCACCACAGTGGCTCCAGAAAGGCTCTGGCAGCCCATCCTAGGGAATGGGGGCGGATGGGGCAAGGCACCGCTTCCAAGCGGGATGCTGATGCATCTCTTTGCCCCAGAATGAAGAACAAGCTGTGGTACTTCGAATTTGGGACATCAGAGACCTTTGCAGCCACCTGCAAGAAGCTCCATGACTATGTCGAGGTGGAGGTGGGTTTCCTTGGGATGGTCCCTGTCTCCAGCTGTGACACAAAGGCCTTTTGGCAGGTGTCACCTGTGGGTCGCAGAATCACAGAATGGTTTGGTTTGGAAAGGACCTTAAAGCTCATCCAGTTCCAAG